ATATATATATATATATATATATATATATATATATCAGTGGCGTTCCGTCCATTTAAGCTGCGAATGCTCCGCATTCCCAGGCCATTTGAGAGAATAAGTTCACAGGATAAGTCATATAAACATGATTACAAGTTGATCCCTTGTCATTTGAAATGTAACTTAAAGCTTAAAGAGTTAGGAATAAGTACGCAAAATTATTTTTTGATAGTTAGTAATTAGGTAGTAATTTTCTGTAAATCTACGTCAGTTGTGGTTGCTTCCGGGCGAGCAGATTCTCCGCAGTTTTCTCGCCTCAGCTCTGTTGCTATGACTCGTCAGGATTATAGTGTCTTCTCAGTGATTTTCTGATCTGCGGCAGATTTAATGTGCGAGGTAAGCTGTCAGCAAAGCGCCCGCTCAAACGGAAAAATGCACTGTTGCAGCCAGATCTCGATTGTCGAAAATTACATTGTGTTTGATGCAAAACCAACTCGACTAAATCAAAAGAAAATAAACATTAACTGTATATTTTTATTTTCTCAAGCAAAGCAAATTGTAAAAGTCCACTGAACAACTTACATTTTTGGTCATAGACAACGTATGTTGAAGATATACGTTATTGTCAACGTTATTGTCTAAGCGGTAAATAAAAATAAAAAGTTTATAAAAACGTGGGCTATATAAAATTGTAATAATAACAAACATCATATTGTTTTGCACATGCTCGTGTCGCTTACAGTTGAAGTCCTTCTCTGATTTTATTATTGTTTGCAAGGTTGCATCGTTACTTTGCAATATTTTAAATACTTTTGGGTATTTTGCATGGTCTGTTATTGGAGTGTCACACGGGTGGGAGTTTTAACTCCTATTCACTGTAAATAAAAAAATAATTTAGCTGATGCAGAGAGACATATAGACCGGGGGAATCCCCCCCCCCATCTCCCCACCCTCTGATTACGTATCATTACTTAACTACGTGTAAACATTATTTGACCGTTTTTACTTGGGAAATCAGCTATATTTTTCTTGCATTCGAATAACAAACCTGAAACGATAGAAGAAGGATTGGAGATGAATTTCATTTACAAATAAGGTAGGAAATGATCCCTGTGATTTTTTTTTAGAATGCAGCCACTCTAGCTGGGACATCCTCGGACTTCCAGCTTCTGAGAATTATTTGTCTTCCAATCATTAAACTGGTTTAGACCCAGGATTTTATGTGTTTGTCTCTTATTTCGTTGTCTTTCCACCCACCTAATATAAACATACAATATAGTGTCCCTGTGGCTCTGTGGTAGAGCATTGCGTTAGCAGCGCAAAAAGTTGTGGGTTCAATTCCCAGAGAATACACATACTGGTAAAAAATGTATAGCCTGAATGCACTGTAAGTCGCTTTGGATAAAAGTGTCTGCTAAATTCATTCATTAATTTATTTATTTAATTAATTTATAAACAGTCTAGGACATAATGAAATATGAAAATCTAAAACCAAGCAAATGTATTCATGAACTCCTTTCCTGAAATCTTTCATTTTTGTACAAAACCACAGAGCATGAGCTAAATTACCATCCTCAACCTCACATCTCCAGCAATAAGGTGTATCTCTTAACCCAAGCTTGAACCAGGAAGGAGTCTGTGTATAATCATAAACTGTATAAGGCGTATCTTGGCATCCCTAGATGCCATTTTAACATTCTTTAAAATTCCATGCCACTCCTCGTCATTGAGTGTCAGGTTCAGATCTCTTTCCCATATTTTCTTAAGAGCTTGTGAAGGCTGCATCACAGAGACTTTGAATCAACCAGGAGTATAAATAAGACATTCTTTACACATATAGAATAATATGGAATCTCATTTTATATACCCTCTATCTTTTCAGGAAACTGAGATTACTCTTCAACACACTGCAGTTCTCCATGGCATTCCTGTCCTGCTTGGAGACACACAGAGAGGAAAGTTCTTGCATGTTTATTTTCATGTTTTCTCTTGATTAAGCTGTTTTGTTTACTTGTTGACAGAAGTTGACATTGAAATACAGTGGGGCAAAAAAGTATTTAGTCAGCCACCAATTGTGCAAGTTCTCCCACTTAAAAAGATGAGAGAGGCCTGTAATTTTCATCATAGGTATACCTCAACTATGAGAGACAAAATGAGAAAAAAAAAATCCAGAAAATCACATTGTAGGATTTTTAAAGAATTTAAATACTTTTTTGCCCCACTGTACATGTCAAAGGATGTAGACAGTATAAGCAAATGTTTTTATGACCATGTAAGCTAAAGTATATTGAGTATGCATTCTTCCTATTGTCTTAATGTGCTCAGGGAATATCATTCTTCTCAAATGTCTTAACATTCAATTTTTTCCCCCCCAAAAAGCATTGGTTAGCATTGTTAATGAACAACTATTACAAATTATCATGCTGATTTACATTTGTTTTCTGCATTTTGAAAAATAATTGTTCTGAAATGTTATGAATGGAAAGCTGTTTTTAACTAGGTATAGTTACTCTCAATGTTCCTCAGATCACAGATTCAATTAAGCTAACAAAACGTAAATGGCTTAAGTAAATAGAACTCAAAATAAGTAAGGAATACGTTTAATACATAGTAGTAAATTTTTTATAATTTTAATTAAATTATTTTTCTATATTAGTAAATAAGACTTAAATTACACTTAAATTACACAAATTATAATTAAGTTAAGATTACTTAATTTAAGGCAACGAGTTTGCACAATTTAAGACCGAACAAATTACTTTTTACAGTGTATATACAGTATAATACATGATAATAATACACGATAATATGGTCTGAGGGACAGTGATGTGGTCAAATGGATTTTTCTCACACACAGACATGTTTCCTTCTTAATGCTTTGTGACAAGCAAACGGCCACACTGCACAGCAACAGAGTGACGTTTGGTTTCTCCTTGAAACTGCTCTTTAAATAACTGCACAATAGCTTGAGCTGGAGCATATTCACACAGAGAACAGCACATCCACACAAACAGCTTACATATGAATACACTTCTTCGCTCTTTATACCTTCATGCCTACAAGCATGAAAGGTAAATCGCCCAATCAGAGAAAAGTGTGACTGGCGCAGGAAACGTGTTTATGCAAATGCCTGCATGGCCTTATTAAATCAGTACCTCATGGGAGCATGCAACCAGTGTGAGAGGGGTATTTATAGATATCACCCACTTCTGGCAGAGCATGTGGGCGCATCCATGACTATCCCAGCAGGATTTCACATAATGACAGTGGGGAGTGGGAGATGGCGTGGAAATTTCTAGAAAGGGTTAAGCTTTGTGAATGGAAGAAGATGAAAAGAGAGCCTAAGGGGGTCTTTTTATGTTTCTCAAAAATATTTAATCAGCTCACAATATTTCCTAACCAGTTCCGGTACAGGTAGTTATTTATCCATAAAAGTTTGTGTGAATATTATATATTTTTTTTTTCATTCTGTTTGTGTGTGTGTATATAATGCATATACACATACACATACATACATAAATACATATATTTAGACATATATATATATATACACACACACACACATTGAAAAACTGAAATGAACTTAACGTGAATGTAAAAAAATTACTTAAAAGTACTAATAACATTGAACTTAAATTTCTTTACATTTATTTAATAGAGTAATGTATTAAACTGGCAGCCCTAAAACTTCTGCTCAAAAAAATTTTTACTTTTCAGAATATTTAAGATAAGAAACATTTTAATTGTAAACACAAACGGTTTGTCCTATGTAGGGACAGAGCATATATGTGTGTGTGTATGTATAAATATATATGTACAGTATGTGTGTTTGTGTGTATAAATCTACATGTGTGTGTGTGTGTGTGTGCGTGCGTGTTTTTGTGACAAATGAGGACATAAATTTGTATAATGACAAAGGTATGACATGGGTATTACAAGGAGAAGGTGACTTTTCAGGACATTACCCCATGTCCCCACTTTTCAAAACGCTTTTAACTCACTCAGATTGGAGTGTATTGAAAATCTGAAATAGCACAAAGTTTCCTGTAAGGGGTAGGTTTAGGGGTAGGGTTGGTGTAGGGCAATAGAATATATGGTCTGTACAGTATAAAAGTTTGTCAGTGTTAATTTTGACAGCAAATTTTGATTTAGTTTTAGTCATAGTCTTTTGACTAAAATGCCATTTAATCATATTTTAGTCATATGAATTGTTTTTAGTTTTAGTCAACTAAATATCACAAGATTTTAGTCGACTAAATCTACAGTAAATTTTGTCTGCTAAAATCTAATGGGTTTAGTTACAGTGCATTTATTAAGCATTTCTCAAAAATGTCCAAACTCATTATATAGGTTTGATATTAAGGTTTTATCATGATAGACACCGATTTAACTGCGCTGACACACAACATGCCTTTGTGTTAAAATGAAATAAAACCACTTCTCATAAAGAACAAGTACATGGTCTTCTTTTTAATGAAATACCAATGGTTTTATAGGCTAATTATGCATTCTTTATAGCAACTTTTTTACCATATTCTTCATTCTTTCAAGCAGACATATTTATTTCTATAAATAAATTTAGATTAATCTTTAGGTCTACTAAAGTTTTTCAGTCAAGAGCAGTGCGTGATTTTCTGTCTTTCTGTTGTTTCTTGATTAACATCAATGACTCGGACAATAGTAACTAAATTAGGCTGCTGTCCCTTTGAAACCGAATGTACAGCTGCAATGGATGCAATGTTCTCCCTACTGTTTACGTTCACTTAAGACATAATCAGCTGCGTTTACGTGAATACTTGTCAAAACGGACAATTCAACATAATTTTGTGTGTAATTCCGTTCATGCGACACAAAAGAGTACTCTTGCGCTGTGAGACGAGCTTCCTGTGTGTGTATGCTTCAATGTCTGCGCTCAGAAAACCTTACTGATCAAAGCCAACAGTCCTTGTCACATTTGACAAACTTCCTTCAATACAAAACACAGACTATGGAATAAGACTTGCAAGCAAAAACAAACATAAGCTCACACGTCTATGAACCCACCTAAAGTCTGGTTTGGTCTGGTTTTTGTTGCACAACTGAGTTTAATGAGACTACCGGTACATAAATCCCTTGGTGAACGTCTAATTAGCCCAGTTCTATAATTGAAGCCTAAAACGAGCCCCTTCGAAAACATCTTTGAGTCCGCCTTGCTTGGCTGTCTTTGACATTGACTATATTTATACCTACAATCCCCTTTAGTGGCTCTTCTGAGACTAGCTAGCAGATTTACACAGGAAAAAACTAATGAAACTAATGACAATGTCACAAGGCCAAGGCTTCATCAAAAAGAAATCACGCCTAGATTACCGACACGCCGACGTCTAGAGCGCACGTGGTTTTGGCGGCACTTCTAGACCGGTGGAGAACAAACGTGAAAATAGAATTAAGCGTGAACATCATCACCGTGGCTTAATTTCTTCTGCATGAAAGAGATGAATGGTGAGGCTTCTTCGAGAAGTGGTGGGACAGCGCCAGATCACTAATGTGGATTGAGGCGTGGAAATGTGCTAACGACATCCCACCAACATTCTCCATTTTAGATCACTCTGAATCCCTTTGTGGAGCGTCTGCCAGCCGTGTCATATCGCCTGGCCCCGCTGGGCGCACTGTGTAAATATTAAGGTATTCTAGGCAGGGGAGCCGACCCAGGACTTGTAGGGCGCTCCTCTGAAGGTACGTCTGACTGAGGGAAGGCCGCTGAGAGGGCTGTCAGACGCACATCACTGGGACTGTCAAGTCTGCAAGGCACTTCTGAGAATGTGAAAGAATACAGCATCTTATCTCAAGGCAGAACATTCTAGTTCATAAATGAAGGCTGAAGCCCTTCTGAACACACAAAAAAACAGTTCCCATATATGGTTTATATGGTTTTACTCGTTTGTTTATCAAAGATGGAGGTAGCATAAGTAGTGGGTGTAACAGTCATATGTTGAAAGCAGCAAATACATAACACTATTGCCTTACCATCTATTTATTTGACAAATATAAGCAAGGGTTCTCAAACTGGGGTCCAAGGACCACCAGGGTGCTGCAAGGGTGTTCTATGGTGTCCAAAAGAAATATGAGAGGAAAACTACGAGGATTTTATGAAACCGATACACTAACTTTTAAGAAATTAATAATTCTTTATTAATAATAATTCATTAATAATGATTAATCTTGGAACAGATTGGTCTGATTCATGGCTTTTACAGTTTTTTAGGAGTGGGAATCACAGGGCACCGCACAATACAATATGATACATGGCTCATGATAACGATAATATCACGATACAGCAATTCTGCGATAATTGATATATTGCTAGACAATCCTATAATGATACATCACGATATCTAACTATGAAAACAAAATGCCTGTGAAAAGGTTAAGTGCAGGTTTTCTCTCTTTATTCAAGTCCAACCTGCTGAAAATTCTGCAAAAATGACAATTCTGTCATCATTTACTCACCCTCAAGTTGTTTTAAACCTGAATGAGTTTCTTTCTTCTGTTGAACATAAAAGTTATTGTGAAGAGTGTGGGTAACAAAAAAGTGGCTTGTAACCCAGTGACTTCCATAAAAAAATTTTCCTGTTAAAATTAAATTTTTGGGTGAACTATCCCTTGACAAGCGGCAGCATGTTTAGTACAATTAGTCTGCTGTTGCTTTAAGAGCTGCATGAATCTAAGGCTGCGTTTATACTTGGCTTTAACATGCGATCACCATGATTCGATCAAGCAGATTGGATCATCAATCAATCAGAACAGGGCTCGTTTACTCTTGGCAACATCAACTGACTTTTCTATCTGGATAACCGATCGGATCTGTCTTTCCCGCACAATATTTAAATAGGTCTGCAGAGAATGGCCCGGTGCAAAGTCAACCTGAAGTGGTGGGTTTTCTTTTGAAAAGCATTTTCAGTCGTGGGACATTTTACAAATCAAAGATAAGTGTAGGAGTCTCACTAGCGCTCCACACGGGTCTTCTCTCTCTGTCTTTTTTTCTGACAGTTCGCGAGAGAGGGAGTGGCGTTTTGGGTGATGTCGACCTGCGAATGCAGACACCATGGCTGGATTGCATTTACATTACACTGAGATCCGATCACAATGTGTCCTCGACTACCTCTGGACCAGGACATGCTGATCGGATAACATTCCGATCAGAAGCGCGTTTACACTTGTCTTTTCAAAGTGTATGTGGACAACATCCGGATACAGGTCGCATGTTAATGCCAAGTGTAAACACAGCCTAATATACAGGCAAGCATTCGTTTTTCTCTCAACTGTTTACATTCACTTTAGACATAACCAACTGTGTTTATATGTAAACCTTGTGTGTTTTGACAGTATTAGCACACTCAGACATGAAAGATAACTTAGTCCAGTAATCAGACGTTGTTTGACAACTATTATTTCACTCACACTGTTGTCCGCCATTCCGTTAAAAACCTCTTTTTCTTAGGTTAGTTAACTTATGTTCGCTTTTCCCTCATTCATGTGTTGAGCACCATTTCGAGGAGCCATGAAGTAGCGATGCTGGGAGCAGGGAAATCTATTTACAGTGCCTTATTTTATTAATTAAAATATCGATATTTGGCGCCAGCATATATTGCCTTATCGATATTTTGTCCCACCCCTTCTGTGTTGTTGTTGTTGTTTTGTTTTTTTATGCCTATGGTGACAAATTGATTTCTGGATTATGCAGTAAAATGATTGCTTGCTATGGTTTTGCCGTGAGAGTTTTGTTCACAATTCAGATTTTCT